AAGGCGCCTGGACTCACCAAGCTTGTGGTCTAGAAGATAAAGTAATGAAACAGGATATTAATTTTGGATTGAAGAGTGATCTTTTTTTAAAATTTTATTTAGTTATTTTTCAAGTACAGTTTTTTGTCTATTTCTCCCATCCCAGCTCCCCCTGCCCCGTCTCCCCACCTCCCTCCCATTTTCTCCCCCCCCAGTCCTCATTCCTGTGTCTTTCATACTTGTTCCTCAAAATCCCTCCCCATTTTTCCCCTTAAATTCCCTTCCCTCTCCCCTCTGGTCGCTGCCCACTTGTTCTCTATTTCAGTGTCTTTGTTTTTATTCTGCTTGCTTGTTGGTTTTGTTGTTTAGCTTCCTGTTAAAGGTGAGATCATATGGTATTTGTCTTTCAATGCCTGGCCTATTTCACTCAGCATAATGCTTTCCAGTTCCATCCATGTTGTCGCAAAGGGTAGTAGCTCCTTCTTTTTTTTTTTATTAAATTTATTTTTAAAAATTGATTATGCTGTTACAGTTGTTCTATTCCCCCCTTCATTCCCCTCCACCCTACCCCCCCATCCCCACCATTACCCCCCTTTAGTTTATGTCCATGTGTCTCAAGTCCTTTAGGTTCTATATTTCCCATGCTATTCTTGCCCCCCCCCCATCTATTTTCTATCTACTGTCTATGCTACTTATTTTCTGTACCTTCTCCCCCCATCTCCTCCTCCCACTCCCCTGTTGCTAACCCTCCTTGAGATCTTCATTTCTATGTTTCCACTCCTGATCTAGCTGTTCTTTTAGTTTGCTTTCGTTTTAGGTGTGGTTGTTAATAACTGTGAGCTTGTTGTTCTTTCACTGTTCATGTTTCTTTAACTTCTTTTTCTTAGATAAGTCCCTTTAACATTTCATATAATAAGGGCTTGGTGATGATGAACTCCTTGAATTTGATCTTATCTGAGAAGCACCTTATCTGTCCTTCCATTCTAAATGAAAGTTTTGCTGGATAGAGCAATCTTGGTTGTAGGTCTTTAGATTTCATGACTTGGAATATTTCTTTCCAGCCCCTTCTTGCCTGTAAGGTCTCTTTTGAGAAATCTGCTGACAGTCTGATGGGGACTCCTTTGTAGGTGATTGTCCCCTTAGCTCTTGCTGCTTCTAGGATTCTCTCCTTCATTTTAATTTTGGCTAATGTAATTATGATATGCCTTGGTGTGTTTCTTCTTGAGTCCAACTTTTTTGGTACTCTCTGAGCTTCTTGGATTTCTTGGAAGTCTATTTCCTTTGCCAGATTGGGGAAATTTTCTTTTATTATTTGTTCAAATAATTTTTCCACTGGTGGTTGTGTCTTTCCCCCTTCTGGTACCCCTATAATTTGGATATTGGAGCGTTTAAAGATGTCCTGGAGGTTCCTAAGACTCTCCTCATTTCTTTGAATTCTTGCTCCTTGACTCTTTTCTGTTTGGCCATTATTCGCTTTCTTCTGGTCCACTCCATTGATTTGAGTCCCAGTTTCCTTTTCATCTCTATGGGTTTCCTGTGGAATTCCATTAATTTCCCTTAGTTTAGCCTTCATATGTTTCTCTAATTTGTGGCTATAGTCAACCAGATCTGTTAGGATCCTGATGACCAGTGTTTTAAACTGTGCGTCTGAGAGTTTTGCTATTTCTTCGTCGCTTAGATTTATCTCTGGGGCTTTGAGGTCTTTCCTGCGACATTTTTGGTCTGTTCTGGCCCTTTAAATGTGAGAAGCGGCGCCTTGGAGTCCCAGGTCGCTGGGTTGTGACGCTGTATGTGGGGGCGTGGTCAGAGCGGGAAATGGTGGCGCCCTCTACTGCCGCAAGCCACGGGGACCGCAGGGCCCCGGTCCAATCACCCACTCCCTCGCCCGTCCGCTCGCCCGCAGACAGGCAACCGCAGTCAACACGCAGCACCGCCTCCCCACCGTCTCCTCAGCAGTCGCTCACCCGGTGGGTCGCTCGGTCGCTCACTAGGTCCAACCCTGGGCCTGGAACCCGTGCGTCTGGATTCTTGCGTCTGGACTCTGCGCCTGGGTCCGTCTGACCGGAGCCCTCCCGTGCAACTCCTCACGAGACGCCGGTTTCGCCCCTTACCGGTCGGGCTGAAGAATTTGTTGTTAACGGACTTCCGAAAAGTTCAATTTTCCCTGTTCTGGTTGTGTTCTCTGGTGCTAATATTTAGTTGTCCCTAAACTTGGTTGTGTGAGAAGGCACGGCACATCCACCTATACCTCCATCTTGGCGGAAGTCCCACTTTAGTAGCTCCTTCTTTTTCTCTGCTGCATAGAATTCCATTGTGTATATGTACCACAATTTTTTGATCCATTCATTTACTGCTGGGCACCTAGGTTGCTTCCAACTCTTGGCTATTGTAAATTGTGCTGCTATGAACATTGTGGTGCATAGGTTCTTTGAAATTGATGTTTTAGGATTCTTGGGATATAATCCTAGCAGTGGAATTGCTGGGTCAAAAGGCAGGTCGATTTTTATTTTTCTGAGAAAATTCCATACTGTTTTCCATAATGGTTGTACCAGTTTGCAATCCCACCAACAGTGAACTAAGGACCCCTTTTCCCCACAACCTCTCCAACATTTTTTGTTTGTTGCTTTGTTTATTATAGCCATCCTGACTGGTGTAAAGTGGCATCTCATTGTGGTTTTAATTTGCATCTCTCTGATACCTAGTGATATTGAGCATCTCTTCACATATCTCTGGATTTTCTGTATGTCCTCCTTGGAGAAGTGTCTGTTCAAGTCCTTTTCCCATTTTTTAATTGGGTTCGATGTCTTCCTAGAGTGGAGTCGTGTAAGTTCTTTGTATATTTTGGAGATTAAACCTTTGTCTGAGGTATCATTAGCAAATACATTTTCCCATACAGTTGGTTGTCTTTTTAATTTAATACTGTTTTCTTTAGCCATGCAGAAGCTTTTAATTTTGAGGAGATCCCATTTGTTTATTCTTTCCTTTATATTCCTTGCTCTAGGGGACATATCGGTAAAAATGTTACTGCGTGGAATATCTGAGATTTTCTTGCCAATGTTCTCCTCTAGGACTTTAATGGTGTCACAGCTTATATTTAAGTCGTTTATCCACCTTGAATTTATTTTGGTGTATAGTGTAAGTTGGTGCTCAAGTTTTATTTTTTTGCACGTAGCTGTCCAGTTCTCCCAACATTATTTGTTGAAGAGGCTATCTTTACTCCATTTTATGTTGCTGTCCCCTTTGTCGAATATTAATTGCCCATAGGGACTTGGGTTTATTTCTGGGCTCTCTGTTACCAGGCTGTTTTGATTACAGTGGCTTTGTAATACAGTTTGATATCAGGTATTGTGATCCCTCCTACTTTGTTCTTCTTTCTCAAAAGAGCAGCTGCTATTCGGGCTCGTTTATGGTTGCATATAAATTTTTGAAGTGTTTGTTCTATGTCTGTGAAATATGCCATTGGTACTTTAATAGGTATTGCATTGAATCTGTATATTGCTTTGGGTAGTATGGGCATTTTGATGATGTTAATTTGGATTGAAGAGTGATCTTAAAGAGTACCACCTCTGTGTCTTGCATGGGGGGGTTGGGGACAGCATTTGTGGAGTCTGAAAGCTCAGAGGAACTCAGCCATGTAGAGTGAGGAAGAGCAGGGACCAGGGCTCTGAGGCAGGAAAGAGCTTCGTGTACACAGGAAACTTCCAGAAGGTCAGTGTGGCTACAGTGTAGTGAGCCCAGGGGAGTGCAGGACTGGACAAGGTTAGGAAGGGAGGCAGAGGCCGTTCCAACAGGCAAGGGAAGGAGGCTTTTGGGTGAGGGAGTCACATAACTTGACTGCAGTGCTGGCAATAGAGTATGGAGAGTAGGAGTCGAAGGGGAAGCAGCAGGCTACTGCCTGACCCAGGAAAGACCACATAAACCAAGAGATCCGTTCGTTTTCCTTTCGTGAGGATTAAACAGATTAAACCTCCATTTGCCTCCTGCAGTGAACTCGCAGTGGTTGGCTAGTTGGTGAGATTACTGCAGACCTGTCGGCCAAGCTGGGTTTGGGCGAAGACAGCAAAAGGGCAGGACAGGAGCTGCCCCCGGCAGAAGCACAGCAGAGGCCGGGAAGGTTCACCAAGAAAAGAGCAATCTCTCTCTGGCTGTGGTTGCCTCGCTCAGCTCCCTCCCAGCCTCCCCTTCTTCTCTGAGGCCAGGAGTCATAACAAGTGACTAGGACAGGGAGGCACCAAGCCACACCATGATCAACAGTCAATAATAATACACAAGTACTTATGGTTATGAGTAACCATAAGGAGACACTAGGTCTTACCTTGTTGCAATAAAGTTGATTTAACCTTGAAAGGGGGTGGTGGGAGAGGCTGTGTGTGTGTGTGTGTGTTTCCATTTAGGTTGATTAAAGCGTGCTCATTTTATAATATAACTGCACTCCCCATGCAGTAATGAGTTACGGATAAATCCAGCCTCAGAGCCAGGCCCTGTGTTTGGTGGGGCTGGAGTGAGAGGTGAGGAGCCAAGTCAAATGTGTATAGTGTGGGGCTGCAAAAGCTGTCTGAGGAGGCACGTGGGCAAACAGGCTGAAGGTTGTTGTCCTGGGTCACACAGATTGATGATTTGCTGGGTATGAGGAACACAATGGCTCATGGAGCTGGAATCCCTGAGAGGACAGGCCTCTGAGTCCCTGAGTCCCCAGTGGTTGCTGCACAGCTTGGTTTGAGGACCACTGGTCTGGCCCACCTTCCTCATGCTACAAATGGGTGATGACTTATCCAGGGTTGCCCGGTGAATTGGTGGCACAGCCAGAACCAGGACCCAGGTTTCTAGCTGTCCCATCCTCCTGACTCTTTATATCACAAGGCTGCAGCTTGAGAGGAAGGTGCAGGAAGGCCTGCCTAATTGGACCTGGGTCAAATAGACAGGGCTCAGTTTGACTTTCACAGCCTGCAAGGAAGATGGCCCCTCCAGACTAAACCTCTGAGGGCAACAAGACGATACTGAGAGTGCATTTTGTGTTTCAGAATTCGCCTGGAGGAGGCTGTTCATTCCACCTTGTATGGCCACAATGCTGACTGCCCGCCTCTCTAGACCCCTGTCAAAGCTCCCAGGGAAAACCCCGAGTTTCCCTGACAGAGAAAGTGGAACAAGGTAAGAAACCGAATAGTGGAGGTGGCCTTGAGGGACACACTTTCTGGGCAAAGCAGAGCTCTTCACACAAGGATGACAGGTGGTCCTAAAGCCTGACCCTCAGCAGTGTCTCTCAGTCCCTGCCGTGACCAGCAAAGGAAACTCAAAGGTGTCCTCAGAAGACAGAGACCCACACAGGGCACAGAAGAATACCTTTCATCAGATTTTTAAACTTTTTATTTTGAGATAACTACACTGATATGAAAGTTGCCAAAATAGTCAAAGGGTTTCCATATCTTCCTTACCTAACTTCCCCAAATGTTAACATCTTACAAAACCATAATGCAGTCATGAAAAGCAGGAAATTACCACTGATATGCTATTAACACACCTACACACTTGATTCAAATGTCAGCTGGTTCACTAAAGGACCTTTGCTAGTCCACAGTACAAACCAGGGTCCCACAGTGCACTTAGTTGTGTTGTCTTCTTACTCTCTTCCTATTAAGGGACAGTTCCTGAGTCTTTGTTGCTTTTGAACTTGACCTTTGGAATAAAGTCTCTCATTGTGGGTTATGTGATATCCTCTTGTTTAGATTTAGGTATTCATGTTTGGAAAGTGCCACCCATGTGAGGTGGTGTCTTCTCAGTACCCTGCATCAGGAGGCCCAGGGCATTTCTGTCTGATGTGTGCCATTACTTTGATCACCTGGGTAACTGCTCTTTTCAAACCTTACACATGAAGCCAGGTAACTAAAATGTCCAGAGACTTCACTGAACCGCTGGTGTGATTTAGAGAAAGATGAGCACAAATTAAACAATCGGCTCTTCTTTGAGAGGTCTGGGATTGCCTTTTCCAAGGGGATTCAGTGCACTCTGCTTCCTCATTTTCCTCTGTCACAGCCAGAGAAAGAAAAAAATAACACCCTTTTCTTTTGTTTAAGAGCAGTGAAATTGAGTGTTAGGTTAAATTCAAAGTCCCAACAGCTAGAAAATTGATGGATATTTTCTATGCCAACTAATATGTTGAGAAGAGCCAGCATTTAGGCTTATAGGAGCATTCACTTAAAAGCATTTCCTCAGGACACAGCAGCATGGTTGGAGATGGGCTTCAACTACTGGAGGACACCATGTAACAAGAGTTCAGATGGTCCTTCCAGTAAAAATGACACCCTGTCACCTCTGTAGAGGGAACGTAGCCTGGCTCCACTGAAAAGCTTTGGAGGAGGGGAATTACTGCAATTTTTTTTTCCAGTGAGCGACTCATAGAAAAGGCAAAATCCTGGTGGGAAAATGGAGATGACTGTATTTGAACAATAAAAAAAAGATTAAAAAAAAAGAAATGGCAAAATCTTGTCTCAAAAGTGACTTTGAGAGATTTCTGGAGATTAATTTTTATAGAGGAGAAAATAGTCCCAAAGGAAATTAAATACTTTTACAAAGGTTTTATCCTCAAATTAAAGGGGAATGAGGTAATTGGTCAAGCTTCTGGCTCATGTGAGGGTAAAGAAAGACTGTCATGGGGAGATTCCGAATCTTCGGGAAGGACTGTAGAAATAACTGGTTAGGTTCAAGGGGCAGAGCTGAGTCAGAGGGCATTAGCTCTCCTCTGGGCAAATGCGTCAGCAGAGGCCTCAGAGGGAGGCCCAGGTGGGTGAGGAGGATGGAAGGGGTCACTGTGCCTGCATCAGGCAGAAGGACTTTGGGTGGGGAAAAACTATGGCCTGGTTATTTTGCTTGAATCTCAGTTGGCAAGGGCCTCATAATTCTGTCCCCACCTGTGGGTGGGCCCTGTGATAACATCCTTACCAACTGACCTTGCAGCCCTATATCTCCAGCTCTGGGACAGAGAGTACAGTACCTCTCACAGCAGGCCTCCTGCCTTCAGTAGTGCTCTCATAGAGTCCTTCTTCATAACGAACAGAAATCATTTCTCCTGAAAATTCCACCCCTTGTCCCTGGGTCTGCCCTCTCTATTCGCACTGAACAAGTTAATGTTTATCCCTAGGGACACCCTGCCACTTCACCCCTGTCCCCCACTGCTCTGACTTCTCATTCGCCTACATGTTTTTTTGTTGCTCACCTCCCATGGTTTCCCCACTCCATATCCAGGTCTCCCACCTGAGTGTGTCCTTTCGGCCTCTGCACCTTTTTGAGATGTGACGCCCTGAGCAGAGCACCACCCCCTTCCCGTGTGTGTCTGCCTCAGGGCAGTGGTCACCCAGTGCACACCATCTGTCCAGACGAAAGCCCCAGGAGTGTCTAGGCCTGGTCCCAGCCCTGACACCTGAAACCTGCTCTTCTTACTGGCTCTGCATAGTGGGCAAACTTTGGATACAACTTCGCAATATAAAGAAACAAATTTTTGATACATACAACAATCTCAGTAAATCTCTACGATTGATATCGAGTGAAAAAATCAATCCCAAGAACATCTTTGCTGATACCTCTGGTAAGGATTTAATATCCAAAGTTAATAAAGAACATATAAAACTCAACACCAAGAAAACAAACAATCCAATTAAAAAATGGGCAAAGGGCCTGAATAGACACATCTCCAAGGAGGACATACACATGGCCCATAGGCATATGAATAGATGCTCAGCGTCGCTAGTCATCAGAGAAATGTGGATTAAAATCACAATGAGATATCACCTCACACCTGTCAGAATGGCCATCATCAATAAATCAACAAACAGTACATGCCGGCTGGAATGTGGAGAAAAGGGAGCACTTCGGCACTGTTGGCAGAAATGGGGGTTTGTGCAGCCACTGTGCAAGGCAGTATGGAATTACTTCAAAAAATTAAAAATGGAGCTGCCTTATGACCCAGTGACCTCACTTCTGGGTATTTATCCAGAAACCCAAAACACTAATTCAAAAGAGTATAAGCAAGCCTTTGTTCACTGCAGCATTATTTACAGTAGCCAAGATTTGGAAGCAGCCCAAGTGCTCAGCACTAGATGAGTGGATAAAAAAATCTGTGGTAAATGTATACAAAGGACTATTACTCAGCTGTAAAAATGGAAATCTTACCTTTTGCAGCAGCATGGGTAGACCTGGAAAACATTATGCTAAGTGAAATAAGCCAGTCAGAGAAAGACAAGAACCATATGATTTCACTTATATGTGGAATCTAATGAACAAAATAAACAAACAAAATAGAGACAGACTCACAGATACAGAGAACAGACTGATGGTTGTTGAGGTGCGTATCGTGGGGCTGAGTGAAAAGGGGAAGGGAATAAGGAAAAAACAAACCTCACAACCTCATACACTTCACAGACAGACAACGGTATGGTGATTACCAGAGGGAAAGGGGGTCAGGGGAGGTAGACGAGAGTAAAGGGGAGATAAACGGTGATGGAAGGAGACTTGACTTTGGGTGGTGAACACACAGTACAATATACAGATGGTGTGTTATAGAATCATATACCTGAAATCTATATAATTGTGTTAATGTCACTTCAATAAATTCCATTTAAAATTTTTTAAAAGAAAAAGCAATCCCAAAAGGTTGCATAGTGTAAAATTCCATTTATGTAACATTCTTAAAATGACAAAATTGTAGAGATACAGATTCGGGTTAGAGAGGATGTGGAGTGGGAGGGAAGAGGGTGAGTGGCTATAAAAGGGTAATGCGAAGAATCCTTGTGGTGATGGAAATGCTCTGTGTTTTTACTGCATCGATGTCAGTATCCTGGTTGTGATACATAGTTTTGCAAGATGTTAACATGAGGGGAAATTGGGTAAAAGGTACAGGGTATCTCTCTCTATACTATTTCTTAACTGCATGTGAGTCTAAAATCATTTCAAAATAATAGGTCAAATTAACCAAACTATCACAAAGCAACATAAAGCCCGAGGGATAAATCATGGAATTTTCAAAAGGTTTGGTTAACAAAGCTACATCACCTGAACGTTCTTCCCACGCAGTGGCAAAAATGATCACTGCAACCGATGTCCCCCTTTCTACCAGCCTAGCAGCCCTGGGAGAAAGAGGACCTCTCCCTCAGTAGGCTGTCCTCAGGGTCTCAGTGTGGGGAGACAGTCTGTACTGCTCACTGGTGGCTGAGGGCACTCTGAGTTGCTTCTGCCCCAGGAACAAGGTCTAGGTGTGACCTCAGCCTGTGCTCATGGCTTCCTTTTCTCTTGCAGGTGCACACTGCAGTTTTATTCCGCCTCATTCGTCCCTGTAGGTCATCGCACTTACGCCGATGCAGTGACCCCCGTGAGTGGCAGCCCAGCTTCCTGGGAACCAGTCAAGTAATCAGAGCCCCCAGGCCCTGAGCCACCTTCAGAGCAGGGCTTTAGACCTTCCAGGTCACTCAGAGCCACTTTCTCGAATTCTTGACTCCCACCTCGCTCCCCACAAACCTCCCATCAAATGAGTTTTAGAGGTTAGGAGTTTAGACTCTAGAATCCCTCAAGCCTGGTTTTAATTTCATTTCTATTACTTAGTATGTTGGGCATTTAAAAACTATCTTTTTCTTCACTCATAACATGGTATAATAATCATAATTACTATATGGAGTTATTATGAGAATTAAGAATAATGCATGCACAGTGCCTTGCATGTGGTAAGTGATGATGATGATGGTGATAAGGGTGATTGCAGGTGACAAAACTGAGGTCCAGGAAGGGGAAGTAACTTCCTAGGCAACATTATTAGCCGGTGGCAGAGTCCAGGTTAGAACCCGGGCTGGAACCCAGTCTCCCGATTCTGAGTCCAAGCTTTTCCCACTGTACTAGGATGCTTCGCCAGACAGAAACAGCCAGGCAGGGAGCGCCAGGCCTAGTCGACTCAGGCAGCACTAGTTGTTATCGCCCAGAGGAGGCTTGGCCACTTTGCCCTCAAAATCCTAGTTCCTAACATGGGGTCTAATCTTCTAAAATAGGTCGGCAGCAAAGCTGTCCTGGTCACCGGCTGTGACTCTGGATTTGGGTTCTCCTTGGCCAAGCATCTGCATTCAAAAGGCTTCCTTGTGTTTGCTGGCTGCTTGATGAAGGTAAGAGATGGGTCATCTTCATCAACATTGTCCTTCACACATAGTCATTGTTTTGTAGGGATTTTTTTATTGCAGTAAAATACACGTGATGTAAAATTTACCATCTTAACCATTTTAAGTGTATTGCTCAGTGGTATTAAATATATTTGCATTGTCTAAATATCTCATTTAAGTAGAATCATACAGTACTTGTCTTTTTGCGACGAGCTTATGTCACTTACCATAATGTCTTCAAGGTTTGTCCATGTTGTAGCAATTTACAGAATTTCTTTTTTCAAGGTTGAATAATATTACATTGTATATATATAATACATTTTACTTATCCGTTCGTCTCCTGATGGATACTTGGGTTGCTTCCATGTTTTAGCTACTGTGAATAATGCTGCTATGAACATAGGTGTACAAATATCTCTTCAAGACCCTGCTTTCATTTCCTTTGGGTATATACCCAGATGTAGAATTGTCAACGATATGGTAATTTTAGAGTCAAACTGTCTTCCCCAGCAGCTGTATCATGTTACCTTCCCACCAACAGTGTACAGGGTTCTAATTCCTCCACATCCTCACCAACACTTGTTTTCTGTTTTTTGATGGTGGCCAACCTGATGGGTATGGTCCCAATACCTATGGTATCTTATAGGTTTGATTTACATTTCCCTAATGGTTAGTGATGTTGAGCATCTTTTCATGTGTTCATTGGTCATTCATATATCTTCTTTGGAGAAATGTCAATGCAAGCCCTTTGCCGATGTTTGAATTGGATTGGGTTTTTTTGTTGTTGTTGAGTTTTAGGGGTTCTCTATATATTCTGGATATTTATCCCTTACAAGTTGTGTGATTTGCAAACATTTTCTCCCATATTGTGGGTTATCATTGTACTCTGTATGTAGTATCTTTTGATATACAAAAATTAAAAATCTTTATTAAGTCCAATTTGTCTATTTTTCTTTTACTTCCTATGCTTTTGGTTTTATCCCCAAGACATCATTGCCAAATCCAATGTCATGAAGCCTTTGTACTATGTTTTCTTCTAAGAGTTTTATTGTTTTAGTTCCTCAATCTATTTTGAGTTTCTGTATGTGGTGTTAGGTAAGGGTCTAGCCTCATTCTTTTGCATGATGTCCAGTTTTCCCAGCATACATTCTGAAAAGACTGTCCTTTCCCCCCACTGAATGGTCCTGGAACCCTTGTCAGTGGAATTTAGGGTGCATGAAGGGGAGTATTGGGGCATGAGGCTGCAAAAGTAATTAGGGGACAGTTTCCCCAATTTAGACATCATTACCACAGTTCACTTTTAGAACATTTCTGTTTCTCAAAAATTTCCCTCTTGAGCATTTGCACAACTGCCACACCTTCCTTTTGTCCTAAATAGCCACTTTTTTCTGTCTCTTTAGATTTGTCTTTTCTGGACTATTCATATGAATGGAATCCTATAATGCACAGGTTTTTGTGCCAAATGTCTTTCACTTAGCATGTTTATGAGATTCATCCATGTTGCAGAATGTATAGGTAGTATGTTCCTTTATATTGCTGGATAATGTTCTGTTGTATGGGTATATTACATTTTACAAGTTCATTCATTTTTAATATATGTTTGGATTTGGGGGCACTAAGAATAATGCTTCTATGAGCATTCGCATATATTTTTCCATGTAGATATGTTTCTACCTGGTTCCTTTTAGTGGAATTTAGAAACCAACATTTGAACATCAAGTGTGCTCATTGCTCATGGGGCATTTCTGTTCTTTGTCCCTCTCAGTGGACAGAGCTAGATGTATAAGTAATCACACACACATATGCATATCTACATATTATATCTATTTATCTCCATTTCCTATAAATATCACACACACATAATTTATGAGGTGATACTGACCTCCTATTTCACTGCAACACAACAGCATTCTTTCTTGCTTTCCTCATTCCATATTTGTTCCTTTTTTCTCCTGCAGTTAGAACCCTGATTCCCAACTATATCATTATATTTACTCATTTGGTTAACCCTATGACATTTACACAATAGCTTCAGAATTGCTACATTCATCCCATTACATTACAAACAGCAGACCTAATAAGTAGTTGTGTCAGACTGGATCTTTCAAGAAGCAGGTACTGAAATAGGGTTTGATGTGTAAGAGGTGGATTTGGGAAATGCCTGTAGTAGCTAAAGCAGAATGAGGCATGTACAGGCAGGGAAATCCTTTAGATTGTAATGCAGGTCTGTGAAAAGAAATTGGCAAGATGGAGAATTAGGTAGGCAGAGCTTTCAACTGTGGTCTGAGAGTCTTAGCTGGGGTGATGGGGAGAATTTTGGCCAAGGTTACTTGTTAAGGGAGACCTGCCTCAGGCAGGAATGGCCCAGTGCACTGGCTGAGAGAAGCCCTGGCAAGCGTAGCTATGGCTGTGGCATCCATGCTGTGGTGGTTCTGCAGCACCTGGAGAGCTTCTGTCAGCTGCTCCCACAGCAGTTTGTGCTGCAGGAGACATGCTATGGTCACCACAGTACAGCTTAAGATTTCTTTAAAGTGTTTTTATCTGTTGACTGAAGGTATACTAAGTGCTTATTTGAAATTTACTTGGATTAACTCTTTTTTGTCTTTATTATTATATTAGTTATTTGAAATACAGTTTGATTCATTTATTTGTATTTTGTTCTTGTTGATTTAATTTAATTTTGGAATATTAAAACATTAACAAGGCTCTAAAGTCAAAATTATTTAAAAAGGTGTGCTTTGAGCAATGTTACTTCCCCACCTATCTTTACCACTTCGTTCTTTCATTCCCCTTCTTACACAGATGTTTGCATACTGCACATAGCCTTTTATAATTCAAAATAAAAACAAAGACACTGCAATAGAGAACAAGGGGACAGTGACCAGAGCGGAGAGGGGAGGAATTTCAGGGGGAAAAGGGGATAGATTTACAGGAAATAGTATAAAGGACACATGGACAACAACTAAGGGGGGTGGAAATGGGAGGGAGGTGGGGAGCACTGGGGGAGTGGGCTGGGATGGGAGTAAAAAACAGAAAACTGTACTTGAACAATAATTAAATAAATTAAAAGGAAAAACCAAAAAAAGAATAAGCTTAATATAGCTTGGAAATGATTTTATATGAGTTCATAGAGATCCTTCTTACTTTTAAAAACAGTATTACAGTACTCTACTGTGTGGGTGGACTGTAGTTTACTCCAGCAATCTTCTGTATATGAACATTGTTTTTCAATATTTTACAATTACAACTAAAACTGCAATGAATAATCTTGTGCATATACATTTTTGTATTATTGAGGGGTTTATGTTTAAGTTAAATTTTTAGGCATGAGAATAGTCTTAGGTTAAAGGGTTAAAAATATGTCCTTATTTTAAAAGATATTTCCAAATTTTCTATAAAAGGGGCTGTGTAATTTTATATTCCCATAAGTAATGTATGAGCATTCCTCTTTTCACACAGTTTCACCAAATGAGTGTGCATCAAGCTTTTGATTTGTACCGATCTGACAGGCGAAAAATACATCTCAATGTATTTCGTATTTCTCTTATTGTGAGTCTACACCTTTGTTCTTTTTTTAAAATATATTTTATTGACTGTGCTATCACAGTTGTCCCATTCCCCTCCTCTATTCCCCTCTGCCCTGCACACTTCCTCCCGCCTGCATTCCTCACCTTTAGTTCATGTCCATGGGTTGTACATACAAGTTTTTTGCCTTCTACATTTCCCATACTATTCTTAATCTCCCCCTGTCTATTTTCTACCTACCATTCATGCTACTTATTCTCTGTACCTTTTTCCCCTCTCTACCCCTCCCATTCCCCCACTGATAACCCTCTTGTGATCTCCATTTCTATGATTCTGTTCCTGTTCTAGTTGTTTGCTTAGTTTGGTTTGTTTGTTTGTTTTAGGTTTGGTTGTTAATAGTTGTGAGTTTCTTGTCATATTACTGTTCATACTTTTGACCCTCTTTTCCTTAGATAAGTCCCTTTAACATTTCACATAATAAAATCTGGGTGATGATTAACTCCTTTAACTTGACCTTGTCTGGGAAGCACTTTATCTGCCCTTCCATTCTAAATGAAAGCTTTGCTGGATAGAGCAATCTTGAATGTAGGTCTTTGGATTTCACGACTTGGAATACTTTCCAGACCCTTCTTGCCTGTAAGGTCTCTTTTGAGAAATCAGCTGATAGTCTAATGGGAACTCCTTTGTAGGTAACTGTCTCCTTTTCTCTTGCTGCTTCTAGGATTCTCTCCTTCATTTTAATCCTGACTAATATAATTATGGTGTGCCTTGGTGTGTTCCCCCTTGGGTCCACCTTCTTTGGGACTCTCTGAGCTTCCTGGACTTCCTGGAAGTCTGTTTCCTTTGCCAGATTGGGGAAGTTCTCCTTCACTATTTGCTCAAGTAAGTTTTTCAATTTTTTGCTCTTCCTTTTCTCCTTCTGGCACCCCTATGATTCGGATGTTGGAACATTTAAAGATGTCCTGGAGGTTCCTAAGCTTCTCCTCATTTTTTTTTTTTGAATTCTTGTTTCTTCATTCTGTTCTGGTTGGATGTTTATTTCTTCCTCTGGTCCAAACTGTTGGTTTGGTTTGAGTCCTGGTTTCCTTCCCTTCACTGTTGATTCCCTGTAGATTTTTCTTTATTTCACATAATACAACCTTCGTTACTGTTGTCTGGGTCTTTTTTTATGCTGTTGAAGTACCCAGTGAGTTCTGGAGCATCCTGATAACTAGTGTTTTGAACTGTGCATCTGATAGGTTGGTTATCTCTTCGTCACTTAGTTGTATTTTTTCTGGAGCTTTGAACTGTTCTTTCATTTGGGCCATTTATTTTTTGTCTCAGTGTGCCCATTACCTACACCCCTGTTCTTTAAAGGCATGACTTGCTCTCTTACTCTATCGGCCAGGAATTAGTCACATGGACTTAACTGCTAGGGAGGCTGGGAAACGTAGTGGGTATTCTGAGACAATGTGTACTCTGTTTAAAGTCAGAGGTTTTAC